GGGTCGACATTCCATTAACCTTCCTGAGTAGTCTCTGCACCTATGAGCTAGTTTTCTGTATTTCATGCACAAGTACCCCTAATCCTTTTGTGTTGCAGCTTTCTGAGTTTTTCATCATTTTAAATAATTTTCTGTTCTTTTGTTCTCCCTTCCAAGACGAACAACTTCACACTTTCTAATATTATGCTGCTTTTGCCAACTTTTTGCCTGCTTACTTAGCCTATCAGTAGCTCTCTGTAAATTGTTTGTGTCCATCTCACAGCCTTCCTTTCCAACTATTTTTGTGACATCTGCAAATTTGGCTGCAATAAATTCACTTCCTCTCCCCAAGTCATTAATATATTTTGTAACAGTTGCAGTCCCAGCTCTGCTCCCTGTGGAATTCTGCTGATCAAGGTACACCAACCTGAAAAAGAACCCCTTATCCCCATTAGAGATAACAAGGTGTAGAGTTGGATGGACACAGCAGGCCAAGCAGCATCAGAGGAGCAGGAAAGCTGACGTTTCGGGCCTAGACCCTTCTTCAGACCCTTATCCCCATTCACTGTTTCCATTAGCCAGTTCTCTATTCATGCCTATATACTAGCTACAACACTGTTAGTTCTTATACCTTGTTAAAAGCCTTCTGGAAGTCCAAATAGAGCATATCTACAGGTTCCCCTTTATCCACTCTGGTTGAGACTTTCTCAAGAAACAAGTTGAGCAGACATGATGCCCCTTTTATGAAGACATCCTGACTCTGCTTCTGTCCGGTTCTTCTCCAGACCCAATCATTTTTGGAGAATTATAATCTATGCATCAACTATCTCTATAGGTACTTCTTTTATGATCCTTGAAAACAAGCCATCAGGGCCAGGGGGCTTGTCTGCTTTTAGCCAAATTAGTTTGTCTAATATTACTTCTCCAGTGATATTGATGGTACTTAATTCCTTCCTCTTATTCTTTACTACCAATTGGATGTTGGAAATATCTTCCACCATAAAGGCTGATGCAAAATATCTGTATAAACTCCTCTGCCATTTCCTTGTTTTTCATAACTGTCTCCCAGATTCCATCTCTCGGAGACCTATGATCTTAGATCACTTTCTTCTTTTTTAGATAGTTGTAGAAGCCTTCATTGTCAGTCTTTGTGTTCCTTACTAGTTTGCGCTTGTAGTTTATTTTCTGCGTCTTTATTATATTTTTAGTTCTTTGCTGGATTCTGAATTTATTCCAGCCTTTGGGGCTATCACTAACTTTTTTAAAAAATTATTCATTCGTGGAATGTGGGGGTCAGTGGTAGGCCAGCATTTATTGCCCATCCCTAGTTGCCCTTGGGAAGGTGGTGGTAAGCTGCCTTCTTGAACCACTATAGTGCACCTACTGTGGGTTGACCCATAATGCCATTTGGAAGGAAACTCCAGGATTTTGACACAGCGACAGTGAAGGAACGGCGATATATTTCCAGCCATGATGCTGAGTGGCTTGGAGGAGAACTTGAAGGTGGTGGGGTCACCATATATCTGCTGCCCTTCTGTTTCTAGATGCAAGAAGTCATGAGTTTGGAAGGTGCTGTCAGAGGATCTTTGGTGTCAGAAGGAGTCAGAAGGTTTGTTACTTGCCACAGTATTCCTAGCCTCTGACCTGCTCTTGAAGCCATTGTTTATGTGATGAATCTAGTTGAGTTTCTTTTGTTTTAGAATCCCTGCAGTGTGGAAACAGGCCCTTCGGCCCAACAAGTCCACACCGAAACTCAGAGCATCCCACCCATACCCGTCCCCTTCTAACCCAGCTAATCTACACATCCCTGAACACTATGGGCAATTTAGCATGGCGAATCCACCTAACCTGCACATCTTTGGACTGTGGGAGGAAACCGGAGCACCCGGAGGAAACCCACGCAGACACGGGGAGAATGTGCAAACTCCACACAGACA